CCCTAAACCCTAAGCCCCAAACTCAGCCCTGACCTTTGAAGTGTCCCGAGAGGCCTCCAGACAGATGGCCCTAAACATTTCACCCTCAACCCGACCTGGACCCTGTAAAAACCGACATTTTCGGGGATCCTTACTATGGTTTCCTGAAATAAGTCTGGACCTTATGAAACCTACAGCTTTAGGGATCCTTACTATGGTTTGTTTATATAAGTCCTTGAAAGAAGGTAGGTTATTTGGGGTTAAGGTCAACCCTAAACCCTAAACTACCTACTATAGAGGGTACTAGAGCCCCTAGGGCGCTAGATAGTAGGCACCTGGAGATTTAAGGTAAACCCTAGACACTACATTTTTTAGGGACCCTTGATATGGTTTCTTTATATAAGTCCTTACAAAAAGGTAGGCTATTTGGGGTTAAGGTCAACCCTGAACCCTAAACTACCCACTATAGAGGGTACCTGGAGGGTTAAGGAAAGCCCTAGACACTACATAAAGTCCTTACAAAAACGTTCGTTATTTGGGGTTAAGGTCAACCCTGAGACCAAAACTGCCTATTATAGAGCCCCTAGGGCCATATATAGTAGGTACCTGGCAAAAAAGGTAAACCCTAGACACTACATTTTTAGGGATCCTTACAGCAGTTGCTTTATATAAGTCCTTACAATAGGGGTTTCTTTATATAAGTCCTTACAGAAAGGTAGGCTATTTGGGGTTAAGGTCAACCCTGAGACCCAAAAGGCCTCCAGAGTGATGGCTCGATCCGCATCTGGGAGCTCCACGGAGATCAGGCCTCCCGGAGCAAGCCACCAATCGCTTCCTTTAAGGGCTCCTTAAGGGCTTCTTAGGGCTTGCTTTAAGGGCTCCTTTAAGGGCTTTGGGTTTAGGGTTTAGGGGCTTAAGGTCACTAGGGGCTCCTTTAAGGGCTTTGGGTTTTTTCGGTTTAGGGTTCTAGATGTTTAGGGGTTTAGGGGTTTGGGATTTAGGGTTAGGGTTCCTTTCAGGGTTACTTGGGCCCTCAAAGAACTGAATTTGTTAGGGTTCCGCAATAGGCGTCCTCAAAAAAGCTAGGTTATTCTTAGGGGTCCTTAGTAAACACGTCCTCAAAATATGCACGGTAATTCTAAACCCTAAACCCCTAAACCCCTAAACCCTAAACCCTAAACCTCTAAACCCCTAACCCCTAAACCCCTAAACCCCGCAGTCCAGGGAAACCACACGAGCTCTAAACTGGAAGGCCGAAACTCGAAAGCCCTGAGCCGACAGTCCCCAAACATCTGAACCATAAAGCCCTAAAAACCCTGAACCTCGTAATATAGGGGCCTGAATAATTTTGATAGGGTTTTTTGGGGGGTATACTATACTATACATGTAATATGGAGCCCCCCAAAACGAGTGTGGATAATTATATAGTCTGCTATATTAAGTCTTCCCCGGCCTCGAATATGCAGTACGTAGCCACGCTGAG